ACTCCGGCACGTTATCAGCTTGTTTATCGTGTACTGAAGTCATATACGAAAATCTGGAAAAAAATATGAATCTTGTCTGGCGATTGACTTGTCTAAGGCAATCGGCTCGGTTAATCTGGAAATAATGATTAGAAAACTTGTAAAACTGGGAATTACTGGAAAAACTCATGATTTATTTAGAAGCTTTCCATTGAATAGGAAACAATTTGTTCAAATAATTGAGGTAAAAAGTTCTACGCGCGAAATAAAAACAGGCGTACCACAAGGCTCAAAATTAGCGGCTACCTTATTTCCAATATATATCAATAAAATACTTAAATTAAACTTGATAGGAACACCGCAATTTTACGCTGATGATGGGCTTTTCATGCAAGCATTCAGTAATTGAAAACAAGTATGAAATCAGACCTACAAAAAATTAAAAATTGGTTTGACAAAAACTTGTTAAAAAATAACTTTCTTAAAACCAATTTTATTATTTTTAATAACAACAAATTCATTCCGAACTTAGATGCTTTTCCGGGAATTGTATTTGAAAACGAGTTTATTAAAAGAATGAATACCCTGAAGTATCTCGGTATATGGCTTGACACCAATTGGAATGAACACATCACAAAACTTTCGCTATTTACAGAAATAAAACCAATATTCTCAAAAAACAATTGTGGCTGATATACGAGGCATATTTCATGTCACAAATAAACAACTTAAACCCAATTAGGAACCAGTGTTTTGTGCAAAAGCTAAATGAACTGCAAAGGCTACAGAACAAAATAGTCAAAAACATACTGATACTTCTCAAGCATTAAAAAGATCTGTTTTCTGCAAACTGTAGTAGCAGTGTATAAAATTAAAAATAACCTTATAAAACACAATATTGAAATTAGCGCAGCAGAAAACAGTTCTTGTAACTTTCGCAATCAAACTGAATTGCGTACCGGTTTCTTTAGAACGGTAAGAGGCAAAAAATCTATGCGTAATTATGGAGTCAAAGTTTATAATAAACTACCGGAAGAAATTAGATGTTCAAACAATATCAGTAAATTTAAAACAAATGTGAAAATAATTTTAATAGAAATCGAAGTTCTTGACTGGCAACTATAATTATAAACTAACAATGTATTCAAAAATTATATGAAAATTGCAAGCATTCTTAAAAGAATAAAATTTACAATTATGTATCTCAATTTAATCTTTGTACTTACTTATCACGCATATGACAGCGCACTTTATATACTTTGAAAGAGGTTTAGCTATTTTCTCCCACGAAAATTTATTTGTTTTAAGAAATAGCTTTATTAAAAATTTATTTTATCTTATAAAATACATGTCAAATAATATAGCATTAATAATAAATAAAACAAAATCATCACAGCTTTCGACAAAGTAAAATATGAGTATCTAATATAGAATATCCAGAGATTATGAAATTATAATTTTACTAAACAAAGAATCAGTAGTTTAGGCGGTAGAACCGCTCAAAGTTTTTAAATTTTTCACACGGAGAAAGTGTGTATTTTTATTTCTTGTAATTTTTGAGATAAGTTTGTATGTAAATAAAGCAACCAGTCGCTGTTTTCTTATATTCTGATTAAAGATACGTTAATTTCAAGTACATATAAAAAAAAAACAAAGAATTCTCTTTGTTAGGCCTACTGGTTTTTCGTTAAGTTAAATTTTGACCTTTTTCCCAACTTTGCAACATAAAAAAGCCTGGAAGGACCTTTGTGAAATTAATGGTGGTTTATCCAAGTTCAAAGATTTGGCTAAACTTCACTTACTGTATCAATAATAGTAAGGCAATCTCGAATAAAAAACGTACCTCAGCAGGTAATAAGAAGAAGGATGCGCATTTACTACCATAGGAAAGCCACTTTATGTTGTGGGAGTGAGATATACAATAAAGGAAGAAAAGGCTCAGTCTCAGAGGCAGTTGCGATAGCAAGACTAGAGCGACTCATGAGGATAATAACTCGAATTCATAAACCATTAAATGTACTGTTTAGGCAATACACTTCTTTGGCTTTGACACTATTATGGATCTTGGTTTATCTAAGGAAAAATATATAATATTGCGTCAGTCGTTATTTCAACCAAATAAGTCAACAGTGGTGGATACAGGAGGAGGGCTGCTTGAACCTTATTTATTCTTCATGCAAATAGAGCTTCGAGTAATTTTTATGAAGTTCGAAGTAAAGTGTTTTGTAATATAATTTTACTTTTAGTAAGTTTCATTTTGTGGATCTACTGCAAGGTCCATTTACAGAGTCCCCTGTAATAAAAGAATTATACTATTTTGTAAAAAAACACAAGATAAAAAGTAATACGTGGGGTTTATTAAAGCAATATATATATATATATATATATATATATATATATATATATATATATACTTATTTTTTACTTAAAATGTTTGTCAAATGATCGGAAATCGAGCAAATATTATCTAATAGCGGTACAAATACATATTGCCTTTCGATAATAATCTTCGGCGTTCTTCTTCTTTTTTATTAGCGCTGTAACCGCCTAAGCGATTTTGGACGAGTTCAAAACAGCACGCCAGTCATTTCTCTTCTGTGCTAACTGACGCCAATTGGAAATGCCAAGTGAAGCCAAGTCCTTCTCCACCTGGTCTTTCCAACGCAGAAGAGGCCTTTCTCTTCCTCTGTTACCAGCATCGCGGGCCGCGGCATGGGCAAGCCAGCGGAGCCGCTGAATTTTAATTCTCTGTACTATGTCTATATCGTTGTAAAGCTCATATAGCTCAGCATTAAATCGTCTGCGATATTCGCCATCACCAACGCGTAAAGGTCCGTAAATCTTTCGCAGAATCTTTCTCTCGAAAACTCCAAGAGCCGCCTCATCAGATGCTTTCATTGTCCATGCTTCCGCGCCATACACCAGCACAGGCATGATAGGTGACTCATAGAGTGTGATCTTTGTACGACGAGAGAGGACTTTACTTCTCAATTGCCTACTCAGCCCAAAGTAGCACTTGTTGGCAAGAGTGATTCTCCGTTGGATTTCAAGGCTGACATTATTATTGGTGTTAATGCTGGTTCCCAAATAAACGAAGTCGTCTACTTTTTCAAACTTGTAACTGTCAACAGTGACGTGGGTGCCAAGACGCGTATGCTCTGACTGTTTGTGTGCTGACAGGAGATACTTCGTTTTGTCCTCGTTCACCACCAGACCCACATGCTTTGTTTCTCTATCTAAATCCGAGAAGGCAGAACAGGCGTAGCCCTTCGTTGTAACAATAATGTCGAAGTCGTCGGCACACGCCAGCAATTGTACGCTCTTGTAAAGTATTGTGGTTCAGTTCTGCGGCTCTTATTATCTTCTCCAACATCAGATTAAAGAAATCACACGAAAGGG